ACAGAAAGTTGTCATAGGAACTTTTTGTTCAGCAGTTCGTATTTGGTATTTGGCTAATTGATTTTATTATTTAAAGTTATTCACTTTTAAAATAAACAAGTATGAAATATATTTCTTTAAAATAATGAAAAAATCTGTGACATATTTGAAGAGACATTTTAGACACACTTTAGTACTTGAAATTTGCATAAATAAATATTGTTCTTATTTAGATATTGCATATTTTTAATTGCAAATATCATAAATTTCCATAAAAGATTGCTTTCTCTCTCTTTCTCTCTCTCTCTGCCCTTTAAAAGTATGCTCTACATAACACTTCATTTTGAAATTTGTTTGAGAACTGAACGTTAAAGTTTTTACTGTGAACTGCCATATTTTTGTTTAACAAGCAGCTCTAACAGCCCCTAGTTGCATGCCTTGGTCCCCCTTCCTCCCCCTCTAACCCTCTCCCTTTGGCCAGCATTTCTGGCCATTGTTCTGAGTGCTTCTCAAGGCGCCGTCTCGCACGACTGACAGCGAAATCGAAAATAGAAAACTTGTTTTGCAAGCAATTTGTAAAAACTGTTGCGCATTTGCGAATGCAGCTGACAAACAATTCTATTTATTAGCGCCAAAATGTTAAATATTGAAAAACAAATTGCCCGCCCCGCACAGACATCCGCAAATTGGCCACACGAAAGTTGCGGCTGCATAAATTATGTCATTTTCAAAGTATTTTAAATTTTTGCTTTTTTCTTTTTTGTTGATTTTTATTTGTCGACGCCTTTGTTTGCGGTCGCGTTTTCGATTTGGAGTTTTAATTTATTTGATCTGCCATTGCCACAGAGATTGTCGCTGTCCCATGATTAAAGTCTATAAATCTATAAATTATGCGTTTCGAGGTGCGGCCGGCCGGGCTGTGGCACGCCTCGTAGTTTAGTCGCCTCGGCTGCTGTTAGCTCTGCACTTGTCAAAGGCATTTTAAAGTTGGCTTTTAACTGCCTTTTCGCGCTTCACTTGCAACAGCGTCTGATTTAAGTGCATTGCACTTTAACTAGTTTTGTTGTGGCTTTTTGGCCAAGTATTTGGGCCGGCTTGCCTTTAGTAGTTGTAGACACGCTGTCAATGCTCGCAAAAATTTTTGGTCAGTTTTTATGACTTTTATTTATTTATTTTTTTTTTTTTTGGGCTAAAGCTATAAACATTTTTGTTATATATTTTGTTGAAATGAAACTCGGTTGCGGTTTTCTATTGTTGTTTTTAGCTTCACTCACTTGGCGGGGCACATCCACTTCCACTTTAAACATCAGCGTCACGCAAGCGTGCAAACTTGTTGGCCAATAGAAACCGAAAGTCGTGCAACAACAGCCACAAACTCAGCTTGAAGCTCCGCTTGCTGCTGCCTGCTGTCTCGTAGAGCAAACGCGACGCACTAAACGCGATCGCAGCGCTTCTTAGTCTACTTATAGGATCGACTACAGCAGGGCCAAAGCAGCGCAACGCATCGCATCGCATCACTCAAGCCGCTCCGCTCCAGTCCGGCACGGCTGAGCACAGCACGGCGGGGTTCGGGCCTACGTGCGCTATGCGGCAGCTAAGACAGCTCCAATTGGAGCTGTGTGCGTGAGCAGTTCAGAGCTGGACAGCTGGCTTTTGTTAAATACTCTATGCTAAAGGGTATTTATATTTAATCAGAAAATGTGTTACACATATATAAAAATGGTATTTTATTTATATATAATCAAAATTGTCAGCTTAGCCTATGTCAACAGTATGGTTAGCTATAAAGAAGTTATATATTATTAAGACTTGTTGAAGATATATCCAAAACTTAGGCTGTTAGCAATCTGGGATCATTTCTTCATATAGCTAGTCTAACATTTTGTGATATATTCTTCAGATAGATTATAAAAAAAAAACAATACAAATAATTTATAGCTGTCATAGATCGGATCAGAATAAACTGGTTATATGAACAGATTTTTTACAGATATATATATACATGACTTACAATTTGCACTTTATATAAAAAATATTCAAATTAATTATACAAATTATAATTCCACTCCGAATTTGAATTTTTGTGAGATTGACATTAGCTTGATTGTATCAAACAACTTTCCCAGCGTCCATTTCATTCAAGAGTATTATCTAGTTGGCTTTGCAAATACGAGCTATTTTTATTGTGGAACTGATTGTTGGTTTTATTGTTAAGATACGCCCGCTAATTGCGCTCTCACTCTCTTCGCTTCGTTTTATATCCTCTCTCTCTCTCTCTGTTGCTCTGTCCGTTTGAAATTGAAAGTGTTTGCTGCTAATCAATCTTACTAAAAAGCAAAAGTTTTTTTTACCGAAGTTAGCTCGCAGCGGTTATTTACACGCTTTAATTCATTTTAATCAATTTAATTTACCTTTTGTCGTTTTTTTTCTCAGCTTTTGTTTGTCTAGGCCTTAATGGCAGCCGTCGTTAGGAAATTGGCTAAAAAGAGCAAATACAGAAATTTGCATTAAACCTAACGACGCGTTTACCCAGACGCCTTGTCTCTATCTCAAACGTTGTCTTCTATTTCTCCCTCTCTCTCTCTCACTCTCTGAAATTTTGCATTAAATTCACATAATGCACTGAGCCATAAAGCATATTAAGCACTTCAACTAGTTAATGCCACATGGGGTTGCTTGGTTTTTGCCAAGGCAAAAAATTCAGCGCCATAAAACACACGCTTTATAGTATTTTCTTAAACCTGCATTGACACTTGCCCAAAAAGCTCAAAGAGTATTTCATTTTAAATTGTTTTTGTCGTCATGACTGATACGACGAGCAAAAAAGAGCATCAGTTAAAATATATTTCTATAGTCTCTTCATAGAACTTGGTGAATAATTGCAATTTAATGAGTCGAAACTTATTTCAAGCTTATTCCGATGCTTATCTAAATAAATGAATTACTTGGCAACCATAATATTTTCTAAATACTTTTATTTTCTAAATAAATTATTTTTCTTTTGCTTAACAAATTTATACGTGAATAACTGAAAAAAAAAACAAGCGAGCGGAAACAAGAAAATTAATTTCAAGGCATTGAATTAATAATTACAAAATAATTATTATGCTTCTTTTTTGAGCTGTGTTTAATTTCCGATCATATTGTGTTATAGTAATTGGACAATAGATTCTAATATTATTAACTGTTTACAGTTTACTTATTGACATTCTTTAATGAGCAGAAATTTTATTTAAGGCCCTAAAACACAGAAAAGTAAAATCACGTTTGCGACAAAGAGCTCTGAAATAGTTTAGGAATATGTAGCGTTGCCAGATTATTCAGTGCCGCGCTAAGTTGGCTGCGGCTCATTAATTTATAAAATGCAACTTACATTCAAGGTAATTCGTAATAATTCATTGCGTTTCATGAAATGCTGCAGCAAATCGGCATTATGTAAGCCCAGTATGTAAATGATGTAACATTTTTTTAGCCACTGACAGATTGTTTGTGTTGTCGTAAGTTTTAATAAAATACAATTAACACTAGAAAATTAACAAAAAAAAATAATAATTTGTCTGTTATAAATATGTTATATCTCCTGCGGGCTTGAATTAGCTAGAAAGTAATGTACATTTCTGGCTTTTTTGTGTCTATGCTCTGTACATACATTATTTACAGCTGGAACTTTTGGCCTCTTGAACCGTCTGTAGCCCAATTTATACTAGCCTTTTTTCCAAAGCCAAAATTTGTTGTTAAATATTTTTATGGCTCTCTTTTAACAGTCTTCACTCTCGCTCTCTTTCTCTCCGCACACTGTAAGTGCTAACACGACTGCCTGACAGCCTACTATGACGCAACACGGAGACCCAAACAAATGAGCATTTGCCCGGATAAGATCACGTCCGAAGATCATCTAATAGTGAAAATTGTGAATAACTTTTGATTAGCGTGTGCCGTATAAATGTAGCAAATATTTACATTGGTCAGTCTTACGTATATGCAACTATTGCAGGCACGATATTTAGCGATATGTATATAGATGTTTATTTAGAGTATTATGCACTCAAATTTTCCACTTGAATGAGCGCTACTTGGTTTCTGGTTATAGCGCAAATATTTAGAGCATGGCGAGCGTGACTTGGCCATTTTGCCCACCCTTGTTAAGTGTGCCGCGCTGTGTTGCATTTGCGCCAGCGTTGCCAGACTGTGCCACAGCCAATGATCAATGGGGCGACAACAAAAGTTGGGTCACAAAGGTTGGGCAAGTCGCGCGTTAATTAAACACACACAACTAACAGTTGGCCGCAAAAGTAATTGCCGCAGCAACAAAAATATTCACACAATAGACACTAGAAGACGCACAACTGGAAAACTTATTTACGACCCGGCTCAGAGACCTCTTTTTGTCTCTGGGTTACATGAACCTTACACCTGGAAGCAACAAATGGAATTCGTTTCTTATTTTTTCATTCGGTTTTTGTTTTTTTTTTTTTATCTGTTGCCAAATGTTGCGTGCGCTGCGTAAATTACTGCCAAGATCTGGACACTGACCTATTCAGCCTCGTCTCCGTCTTGTTCATTTCTCTTTTATCTAACGCATCTTTTTTCTATTTGTATATTTTCTGTATCTGACCTACTTGTTGAAGCTGGTCGGAACACGCAACATTTGACTGATTGAGAGTCACAAATAAAGCTAATTATGTGCCCCTAAATAAAATGCGCTTGCGAAACTTGATGCCACAAGTGCTACACTCGTATCTAAAGTCATATTTGTATCTGGCAGTTACATTTGTATCAGAGCTTTTGTTGCCACTTGTCGGCGTCTAAATTTATGCTACGTTTTAATTGTTTGCACAGCGCTTCGCCTGCGCCTCAAACTGTGTTTGCCCCGAAGCCGCCGACGCCGTCAGCTGCAGCAAAGCAAACATTTGTCTGTCTGCCCTGCCCTTGGCTTTAGCCAACCTCACCTCACCCTCTTGCCTGAACAAACAACAGCACTCCGCCCTACTAATGATTGCGTGCCTGTTTGCTCTTTGCAGTTTCCTGGATGATTTGGATCGGTTAGGCGCCAAGGACTATCAGCCTACCGAGCAGGATATCTTGCGCACCCGAGTCAAGACAACCGGCATTGTCGAGGTTCATTTCTCCTTCAAAAATCTCAACTTCAAGTAAGTAAAACGGCAGGCATAAAACCAAAGACTAAAGTTTCTTAGTTTTGCTTATAAATATCGAATAAGCAAGATTTATTGATGGAATGGATTTTTATTTATTTAGTTAAAATAGAAAATCAGCTAATATTTCAATACCGATTAAAGACAACAAACTATTTTTATCTACTTTTATTGCAAAAACGTTGATTAGAAAGCATGAGTTAAAACAACTAATAAATGGGAAATGTAATAATGCTAAATGAAAAAAGAACTAAACACAATTACGACATACGGACGGACGGACAGACAGACGGACATGGCTAGATCGACTCGGCTATTGATGCTGATCAAGAATATATATACTTTATGGAGTCAGAAATGCTTCTTTCTGCCTGTTACATACATTTGGATTTTGCACAAATACAATATACCCTTATACCCATTTTTAATGGGTTCAGGGTATAAAAAGAATGGACGATGGACCCATCAAATAGATTGGCATCAACGTTTTTTGTTTTCTGATATAAAGCCATTTTTCGCAAAAAACTTGAAAGTTTTTTAAATCAAAGGTCAAATCCGTGCGAAATTCTCTCGAAAGTGGTCCACAAATATGTATGCTTTTTCGTTTAGCCACCCCTTCTCCCTCTTTGGTTCCTAGATGACCCACATGTCCTTGGTCTTACCATACCATTGATAGAGTCCTGGTGAACCTAAATGTCATAATCCGGGCAAAATTTGCTCGGAAATGTGCCAGAAACATGAATATGTATGCATTTCCTTTTAGCCGTACCACCAGCAGCCCCTACTCCTTCTATGGTTCCTAGATGACCCACATATCCTTGGTCGTATCATACCATTGATAGAGTCCTGGTGAACCTAAATGTCATAATCCGGGCAAAATTTGCTCGGAAATGTACCAGAAACATGAATATGTATGCATTTCCTTTTAGCCGTACCACCAGCAGCCCCTACTTCCTCTATGGTTCCTAGATGACTCACATATCCTTGGTTGTATCATACCATTGATAGAGTCCTAAGGACCTATAGTTCCAAATCCCAACAAATTCGCTTAAAATCGTTCTCTACAATTAAATTAATGTTCGCTCGATTTGAGCGAAAATTTAGCAAAAATACCAGGCGAACAGAAATGACCAGCAGGTAGATGCACAGAAAATTTCCGCGGAGATATGTCGTTTCAAAACGACATAACTCCGCCATGATAATAGTTATGGGGGATTATGTCGTTTTGAAACGACATATCTCCGCCGCTCTAAAAACAACATTTTTACAAGAAATTTAGCAAAAATACCAGGCGAACAGAAATGACTAGCAGGTAGAAGCACAGAAAATTTCCGCGGAGATATGTCGTTTCAAAACGACATAACTCCGCCATGATAATAGTTATGGGGGATTATGTCGTTTTGAAACGACATATCTCCGCCGCTCTAAAAACAACATTTTTACAAGAAATTTAGCAAAAATACCAGGCGAACAGAAATGACTAGCAGGTAGAACTATTATCATGGCGGAGTTATGTCGTTTTGAAACGACATATCTCCGCGGAAATTTTCTGTGCTTCTAACTCCGCCATGATAATAGTTATGGGGGATTATGTCGTTTTGAAACGACATATCTCCGCCGCTCTAAAAACAAAATTTTTACAAGAAATTTAGCAAAAATACCAGGCGAACAGAAATGACCAGCAGGTAGATGCACAGAAAAATTTTTGTTTAACATACCTCTGTTAATTAGCAGCTGTTAAATAAAAGTGCACTGTTAACCTGCAGCCGCCTCTGTTAATTAACAGACCACTGTTAAACAGGGGGCACTCGATTTGAGCTAAAATTTAGCAAAAATACCAGGCGAACAGAAATGACCAGCAGGTAGACGAACTAAAATTTTTATGAATGCAAAATTTCATTGCATACCCAAACGGGGCGTGCGGAGGAGCAGCCGGGTGCTTAGATTTCACCGAAAATTCGGCTGAAGTACCAGGCGAACAGAAATGCCCAGCAGGCAGACGAACTAAAATTTTTATGAATGAAAATTTGCATTGCATACCCATAAGGTACAAAAATATTCTTGATAGTAATCTGCCTAATAAACGATCGCTAATTTCAAGGGCATACATATTTCTGGACCGTTTCCGTGCGCATTTCGCAGGGATTGGGTCCTTTAGGTTCACCAGGACTATATCAATGGTATGGTATAACCAAGAATATATGGGTCAACTAGGTACCAACGAAGGAGATGGGGTTGTTTCTGAGGGGCGTCTGAAAGAAAAAGCATTCATATTTGTTGACCATTTCGGTCGTGTAGGTTCACCAGGACGATATCTTTGGCATGGTAAAGCCAAGGATACATGGGTCATCTAGGAACCATCGTTTGTGATTGTATATTCGCCCGGGGCGTGTTAAAAATGGCAAGGAATACAATAAACAGCAAAAAATATTCGTTTAAACAAAAAACAGCAAAAAATGTTCGTTTAAAAAACTTAAAATGATCATATCCCGGCCAGATCCTGGGAAGAATGGGCGCGATTAACTCGTAGAGGTCCATAGGATGTACATTTATTCGGTTGTTGTGAATTGTTTTATTTTATTAAGGACTTAAGCTATTTTTATTGGCCATTTATCGGGGAAGTGCATTAAATCGACTGCAAAATACGTCAATCTGAAAAGATAAAAATATATTAGAATAAGAAAGTGAAAGATAAGAAAGACTCACGTTTTATTTTGATAACTTACTCAAATGTCACGCCTCTTTGCAGATTGTTTGATGTGGGCGGCCAGCGATCTGAGCGCAAGAAATGGATACATTGCTTTGAGGATGTGACAGCGATTATATTCTGCGTGGCGATGTCCGAATACGATCAGGTCTTGCATGAGGACGAAACTACGGTAAGTCAAAAGAATAGAGAGCTATTATTTGTACAAATCGAAACTAAATAGAAAATTTCAAACGAATTGAACGCAGAACCGCATGCAAGAGTCCCTGAAACTGTTCGATTCCATTTGCAATAATAAATGGTTCACGGATACGTCGATTATACTGTTCCTGAACAAAAAGGATCTGTTCGAGGAGAAGATACGCAAGAGTCCGCTGACAATTTGCTTTCCCGAATACACAGGTAAGTACTTGAAAAAGTGAAAGACTTTATACGATTCTAATTGATGTTAATTGTATTGAATTTAAAGGTGGCCAGGAGTATGGCGAGGCGGCTGCCTACATTCAGGCCCAGTTCGAAGCGAAAAACAAATCAACCTCGAAAGAAATCTACTGCCACATGACGTGCGCCACAGACACCAACAACATTCAGTTTGTATTCGATGCTGTCACCGATGTCATCATAGCAAACAATCTGCGCGGCTGCGGCCTGTACTAAGACGTGATGGCGGGGCTAAACGGGAACCGTTACGGTATTACAAACAAACAAAAAAAAAAGAAAGAAACAATTATGAAAAATAATAACAAAAAGAAGAATAATACAGCGCGGGAGCACAACAACCCACCAGCATTGATCAAAAAAGCAAATGATGATAGAACCAACACACAACAAACAACACACACACACACACACACAAACACACACAAACACACACAAAGCAAAAGCAAAGCCCAAAGAACTTTTATTTGTTGTAACACACACTCACTCAGAAGAGTATGAGAAACTGTATGTGCTTAAAATATTATTGAGACGAGAGTTAGTTGACGAGGCAGCTGACTAAAAGAGAAGAGTATAAAAAACACAAAACATTGACAGACGCAGAAATTCAAGCATATTGAAGAGCATTTTTCCTATATTTGCTTTACATTTGCATCATGCAAAGCTACATGTATGACATGAAACGCACACACACACAACAAAAACACTCAACACACACACACACATAAACACAGACGCACAAACATACGCATAACGCAAGCATTAATGCATAATATGTAGTTGTTGTTTGGTCTGAATAATTTTATAGAATTTCATAATTTATGTGTAGTTTAGTTTCTCGTGTATTTATTGAAACAAAAACGAAAAAAAAAAAAAACAAAACAGAACAAAAACAAAAAATTTAAACCAAATGAAAAGTAAAAAGTAAAGAATTGAACAAAGTATATATGATAAATATATGTATACATATGTAAAACGCATATATGACGGCATCTAAGTATATAAATATTATATTATATATATATTAAATGTTTCCTGTTGCAATCTCTTTGAAATTATTCATACCATCAACGCTACATTTCTCATGCTTGTTTAGGCTTAAGTTCAAAGTTTACAAACTCTCTGCGCGAATTAAACATGCAACAAAAGTAATAACAAACAAAGTCCCTGGGCAATGAATTAGCAGAATGCGTATAAATATTATTGAAAGAAAATAAAACAAAAACAAAAAACAAAAACAAATTTAAAAATAATACTTAAAGCATAACGTAATGATAAAGCAAATGAACAAACCAAAAACAAAACAAAATTAACATGAAAAAACGTAAAACTCTAATATATAAGGCCTAATTTAATACAAAAAAAAAAAAACAAAAAAAAACAAAAAACAAAAACCGGACAAAAATGAAAGGAAAACTCTCTAAACTATTTGTATTTACTATCAAAAAATTGCGAATTCGATGCAGCCAGCCAGCCAGCCATAATTCGATTATATAGATCGATGTAAATTGTAATTTGTTGAAACTTGCGTGTGTGTATAGCATATATGCATACCATATATAGAAGGAATCGAGAATCGAGCTGAAGCAGCTACAAATCGCACGCACACACACACACATACATACACACATAACGCACAAACACGCAAACACGCACACACACAAAAAGCCACACAAACTAACTTTAATTTTTGTACACTAATTTATTGTAATTAATATAATTTTGTTGCATTTATAAAGCCACATACGATTGTATCTTTTATAATATGTAATTCAATTCAAAACTTGACACACAAAGAAACTCGCAATAGAAAGGAAACGGGAGAAAATTCTCAACAAAAAAAAAGAAGAAAAAAAAACAAAACAAAATAGAAAACAGTTCATTGTAAAACGCATTGTATGTAATATTTATAAAGCATATACATACTATATATAATAATAATATTAATATTAATAATAATAATATTAATTGTAACATTTATTGTATTTAGTGAATGGCATTTAACACTGTGCGGTTGCAGCTGTTAATTTTGTTTAGACTTATTTATACACACTTATTAATGTATTTATGCATATGCATATGCTTATGCAACTTCTTTAATGTATGTATGATTGTGCATTTTGATTTTACACAATGAATTTATAATTGTTATTTTATAGTATTTTTGTATATTATACAACAGCTCTCTCTCTCTCTCTCTCCGTCTCTCTTCCTGAGCTCCTCTCTACTCCCACTCTCTCTCTCTCTAGCTCCAAATTCCTTTACCCCCCTTATATTCTAGTATGTTTTTTGCAGTTTTGTGCTCTTGCTCTATGCGAAATCCATTTATGTTTTATAGTTTTTAAGCCTTATTTATGTAAAACACATGCAACACGCAACTTAAACAAAAACAACAAGTTAGTAAGTTTATTAGCAAAATAAATATCATTTAACATTTTGAAAACAATTGACAAAATATCTCATAAACCAAAATACACTTGATACAAAACAAAAAAAAAAAAAAAAAACAAAACAAAAAAAAAAAACAGTGTGTAAACTATGCAAAAGTTGTTGAACAACGCATTTTTCGTAGATACTTATGCGATTACATTGTGTATCTACGAGATACGAGATACGAGATACTTTTGTAGTTAAATGCCATATTATGAGCAGTTTTCTAAACATACATGCAATTTGACAACAAGCGAAATTAAACAAACCCAACAAACACTCCTTAAACCTATCCAACAACCACAAAAACAACCACAACAAACAAACACTGTAATATTTATCGTATGTACTTTCCATTCAACTTGTAAAATTCTACCAAAATACAAAAAAAAAAAAAAATATTTAAAAAAATCATTTTCAAATAAAAACTATTTATTCAAAAACAAAACAAACAGCCAAACTCTTTATTATCCACATTTCTCTTGCAGCTGGTTAAATGAGCTGCATAAAATTAGACAAAACAAATTTTATTGGATGCTGCTATTGTCCCAGACAGGGAAAACAACCATACACATACACACACACTCACACAATACCCTACACACACCACACACGCAACACACTCACAGCGCATTTTTACAAGCAAAGAGAAAGAGTATAAAGAAAACCGGTGTGAACTCTTCTAATTTAACTAAACTGTAATTATATAAACAAATTTATGAATATATTTATTGAAAATTTAATTCAACCAAAAAAAAGAAACAACAAATATTTGTAACTACAACTGATGTAATTAATAAACGCAAAAAAGCACACAAGAACTAAATCATTTAACTATAAAAAAAAAAAACTAACAAATAAAACGAGCGATCTTTATATAAATAAAATATATATATAAATAGTGAGAACAACAAACATACACATATGTACTATATTTTTCTCGTAAATTATGTAACTGCATAATCATGAAACACATACGAACAAGACTTTCGCTATTTTATTTTTTTAAATACTCATGCAAAATGACTATAATTTTTTCTTCAAAGTTAAGAATCATCTAGCTCAACTTTGTAACTCTACAAAATAAAAACTACAATTTACATAATGCATAATAGTACATATACAAATAAACAAAATACGTATGCATATACCATACTTTGTCAAAACAAACTACAAAACAAAACAAAAAAAACAAATATTAATAAACATTTTTGCATATTTGCCATTAACAAAAACAAAAGGTCAACTTTACATAAAGTAAATTTAAACTTCAACTCATATAGCGAACATATTTCATATTTTTCTAAAAAACGCTCATACAACTTTTTGCTCCAATATGTAACACACACTCAACACACACAAACACACACACTCATATACCGCACACCCACACACACTCTCAAAGGCCGCACCACTACTACAGTGAAAATAATTAACTATTACTTTAATAGCAGTTAAAATGTATAAGATGCAAAACCAACATTGATTTGTGGAAAAATTAAAAAAAACCTATATATAATTATATGAAAATTTAATAAATTAAAATGAGAAACAACTCAACGCATTGGCAACAAGAACAAGAAGAAAAAGAATGTTGAAATTTGTAAAGAGCTGGCGGAGATTGGCTAGCGGAATATGGAACCAGAGTTTATAGGTAGACAAACTTTAGATGTTGTATCTAAATTTTTTAGCCCAATTCGAATTGCTTTTGTTGTTCACCTATAAACACATTGCAGCAAATTATAATTTCTCATGTTTAATCTTTTAAACGAAGAGATAAACTTTTATCATATTTCTAACGTCTAATGTCCCGTGAATTTACAATTTTATAAATTCAGAGCGAGCTAAACGAAGTACAGAAATCAATTTTTTGCATTCCTCGTGTACGAACTGTGTATGAACCAAGCCCTTGAGCAGCAGTTTTTAAATGTGAAACGAGCAAGTAAACAAATTAAAAACGGAAAACTTGTGAAGAAGATATAAACAAATTACTAACTTGACATAATAAAATCGAATCGTTGAATTACAAATTTAATATAAATTATAATTATAATACAAGAAAAACGATTACAAAATAAATGAAAAATAAACAAAACAAAATGTTTGTATGTAAAAGAAACTCAAAATGTTAGATCATCTAAAATTTAAATAAAAATTAAATTAAAAAACACAAGCTTTGCACACATTTCCATTTGCCTTATTAACCACAACAATTTTCGAACGAAGGGCTTGTGATAATAAACATAAGCATTAAAGATCATTTCATTAATAAAGATTCTCTCTTCAAAGTATGATTCGACTGTAACCTAAAGACTTTGGATTTGTAACAGCTCACAACAGGACTATTAAGAAGCAATTATATCCGCAAACAGTTCTATTCCAAAACATTAAAAGGACTTATCCAAGGACATCCACAAGAAGGTATAACATCTTACAATCAGATGATATTTACCCGAGATATTCACAAAAATAAATCTATATAATGTTTTGAAATTCGCACCGACCCAGATTTTGAGAAATAACGTGATGATTTGGAAGGTCATATCTCCGCGCGGAATTCTGTCGTTTTGGAACATCATATCTCCGCGCGTAGCTATTACCCGAGATCTGCAAAAAAAGGCATGAAAAAAGTTTCGATTTTCGAACCGACCCCGATTTTGAAAAAAAAAACGTGATGTAACCCCTTTCCATTTTGTCAATTTGGGTCAAAATTTTGGATTTCCTTTTTTTGATGCCAATCGATAGAACTGATCCTTACGAGTTAAAAATGGTGAAAAATTTCAAAATCGGGCATTATTTGGCCGAGATATGCCAAAAAATCATCAAAAAAGGTTGATTTTAAAAACGAGTTGGTTTTCCGTCAATCTCATCGATATTGAATTTCTTTGAATGCGAATTATTAGAAGGGATCCGTACGAATTTAAAAAGTTATAACATTTCAAAATCAGGCGATATTTACCGGAGATATTCAATAAAAATCATCAAAAAAGTTTTGATTTTTGACCCGACCTCGATTTTGAAAAAAAAACGTGATGTAACCCCTTGCCATTTTGTCGATTTGGGTTAAAATTTTGGATTTCCTTTTTTTTGATGCCAATCGATAGAACTGATCCTTACGAGTCAAAAATGGTATGAAATTGCAAAATCTGACATTTTTTGGCCGAGATATGCCAAAAAATCATCAAAAAAGGTTGATTTTGAAAACGAGTTGGTTTTTGGTCAATCCCATCGATATTGAATTTCTTTGAATGAGAATTATTAGTAGGGATCCGTA